CAAGTTAATTCGCTGTATTGTTACATTGCTACCTCCAATAAAAGCAAACCCTCTTGCTGTTTGAATAGAGAAGACATCAGGAGAAGTAACACTGCAACTAATATTAGCATATAAAGTATCACTGCCAGACATCACAGTTAAATTAGACATATCTCGAAGGACACAAAAGCCACCACCAAGAGAAATATGATGTGTCACATTGGGATCTAACAATAGGGTTGTACCAGACCTTAACTTCCCTTGCCCTTCACTGTGACACAAATAGAATTCCAAATTTAATGTGCCATTTTGTGGATTAGGCACAAAAATTATATTATCTTTATTTTCAACCAACCCTGTACTACCATTGCTTACCAGCAGTGCCAGTGAAAGCAGGATAAAGAGGGAACGAACCAAGAGGAGCTCATGGGGGGACATTCTTCACAAAGAACTTGAAAGAAGGTGTGTCTAAAGTCTACCCAACATCATCTACCCAAGAGGAGTGTCTTTTATCTATAAGATCTATGATGAAAGTGTGAAGTACAAAGCCTTATAACCACATTAGAGTAAACCTTAAACTAACAGGAACTAGCTTGCATACACAGCCAAGAATTATCATCTCTGATACAGGCCACTACCCAAAATCAATGATCCAAGCTTGATGTCTATTTTGATACAGCCCTGACTAACATCAATGTTGAATCATGTCTGTTGCTCTGGCTGAACCAGGGCCGTACTCCAGCATGGTTGTATCATGGATATATGGTTATCATGATTGTATCATACTAGACTCATTGCTTTGCAGGCTGCCCAAAATCCATAATACAGGCATGTATCAAGGCTGATCCTGATTGATATCAGTCATGATTCAAAGTAAAATTCTTGGCTGTGAGAACATAAGAGCATGCATGATACGTTTATGCATCAGAAAGAAATTTAAAATGAACTCTTAGTCATTTTTGACAAACTATCCTATTGATATACTATAGTACATGGTGTTTTACAACTTGAATAATTCATAAAAATCTAATGACAAGAACCTGAGCACTAGCAAAAATCCTGTGGGAAACACTGCTCTGGCTATGATTGTCATTAAAGGAAATTAACTGTTTGCATTGTTTAAAAATTACAAAAGCAAAAATAGATTTACATTTGTGTAAGTAAGTCACACTCAAGTATAATATAGCTAGTTGATACATTTAAAAGTTTATTGACAAAATGAAAATACGAAAGTCAAAAAGGGAAATAGCAATACTGAGAATTATTCGTAATGAGAATTAATTAGAAATAGTTCTAAATTTTTACTGTCAATGAACTGCAGCTTCAGTACTGTCCATGTAATCAAGTAAAGACTCACGAAAACGGTTATTTGAGGATGGAGACTTACCAAGAGCATGAGGCTGCTTAGTATTGGCATCATTGTCTATCAACAACTGAGTACTGAGTTTTCTTCCTCGTTTACTTTTACAGTACAAGAACCAGTAATGGAACGTCTTGCACACGTGATATAAGAATATTCCGAGTATTGTTGAACAACTCAAAATAAGTGAAGCAAAAAGCATATACTCAGAATAAAGGCCTCCATATATTTTAGACAGGTTAATGCATACAAGGGCCAGTACATTTAGCATGCACCATGTGTCAAGGATGTTGATCCAGGTTTTCTTAAAAGGTTTTAAATATGCTTGAAAAATGGTAAAAGTGACAAGAAGTATGACTTGTAATAGATACTGATAAAACGTGAATTCTCCTGTCAT